GGAAGCTTGGGAAAACGGGAGCGATTGGAGGGCGACCCGCACCCACGGAGAGCACCGTCCGTGTGGAGACCCCCCCCCCCCCCCCCCCCGCCTTCCTATTGGAGTCTCATGTTATGTGGTGTTGTCTGAAGTCTGTTGCATATCTGTTGAGGTGTTTTTTTATTTTTTCAGAGCAAAGCTGCCCTCCTGGTGGGAGGGTAACTCTGACGAGCCTTTTTTTCCCCACCAATCCTCATGTAACCCTCTTATCTCTATTAGGGTAGCGTGACTCGGGCTGCGAATGACCACAGTCAACAATTCTTGTCATGTGTCTTGCCCATGTATGTCTGATCTCTGAATTGTGTGTACTGAAACTCTAATTTCCCTCTGGGATTAATAAAGTATTGATTGATTGATTGATTGATTGATTGATTGATTGATTGATTTATGAAGTGGCTCAGTCATCTGGTTAGGATGCCTCCCTGGTGAGGTTTTCCGGGTACATGTAACCAGAAAAAGACCTAAAGGAAGACCCAGGACATCCTGGAGGGACTATGTTTCTCGGCTGGACAAGGATTTCCTTGGAAGAGCTGATTCAAGTGGCTGGAGAGAGGAAACACTGGACCTTTCTGCTTAGTCTGCTGCCCCCGTGACCCAACGCCAGATAAGTAGAGGAAAATGAATGGATGGATGGCTTGTCTTTCTGTACTCATCTGTCCATCCATTCAGTCCAGTATTTTTGTACTATTTAGAATAAAACCATAATTGATTTTTTTATATTAAAATGTAATTGGCTGTAAATGTCCAAACAGTATTGGTGAGGTTTAGTTTGTTTGTGAAACCTCAAAGGCTTAGTGGCATATTTCTACATAAAAGAGAGTAAATTTTTTGAAACACAGACACACACGCACACACACACACACACACACACACACACACACACACACACACTACAGAAGTGTCTTCTTTGGCTGCCAAATTAGCTAAGTAATAACAGTGCTATCTCAGCTAATTTTAGCTCTGTATTGAATGTGCCTCCACTGGTATTCACAGCAACATTTCTAGCTGAGCTTAGCTGTATATTCTGTGCATCTGCACAGACTGTATACTCTCTTCAGATTCAACTTTTGTTACAATTTCATTTATTTTCTGTGTCACACTTATCCAGATTATTTCCATTTTTCCTATTTGTTTAGTCACCATCTTACTGTTCTTGTTTTGCTACCGCAATATATTAGAAATCCATCTTATCCATCTTCTTTGATTTACCTGCATCAGGATTTAATATTACAAGACACCCCTAATAGATGAAGCATCAGTTTTTGACTCTTTAGATGTGTTCTCTTTGGGCACAAAGTGCTAAGCTATTTTGAATCGTGTAATCCAAATATTTAAAGATTACTGCATGTTGTTGAGCAGCAGTGGCAGGAATGGGTATATTTGAGGTTATTGTTCTTGTTTCATTTACCTTTTCTTTATCCAAAGCCACTATTTTCCAAGTGATCTTGTTGCAGAGTAATGAATAAAAATTCTCAGAACAAAGATCACAACTGCTTGAAAATTTCAACCACTTTTGGAGACATTTTAGAAGTTGGTGCAAGACTTGGAAATACACATTTTGTGTATAAAACATCTTTGTCATATAAATGCAAGAAGTGAGGATTTTCCTCTTGCTGATACAACCAAAGCTACCGATTTGTTATTTTTAATTTCCTTCTTTATTTTACTGTTTGCAACACCACATGTGAGGCCTTACAACCAGATGCTTGCTTTTCCTGATTATGTCCAATTAATTCAGTTAGTCTCAGGTGAATTTAAATATCATCAAAATATGATAGCAGAGCTCACCTGTAGTCATATATAAATGTGTACATCTGTCTTATCTTTTTTTTCAAGCTTGCAGATATTGATGATAGGAGGAAAGAAGAACTAAAACAACAGAATATGGAAAACTAAAGCAAATGTGTTTTTTGTCGGACCAAAGGATTCAGAAGACCCTCCCACTTGGGGCAATAAAGAAAGTAATCTTGTTTCTATTCTTAGTTTGGTGGCCTTGCCTGGTGTGTTGAGATTTTGAATGGGCAGGAACAAGAAACAGTTGGCCTCCTGGTGGTACAAACATCTGTGTGTTGGCACAGGAACAAATGGACAGAAGCTCATTTCCATGAAACACTCCATATGCAAGTTGACTACATATTGGTTTCTTACAGTTTGATACATGTTTTCAACACGCCCAGCAAGTCTGAATTTGTCTACAGATACATTTTTCAGTGGTTGCTAAACCTTCAATATCCACGCTAAGCAAAAAAAGGCATAACAATATTTCCCCATTTGAGTTATTTGGAACACTTACTACAATATTGTTTCATTTTTTAAGCTATCTTCCACGTATTTAGTATTTAGATATTTACTGTTCTTTTTGGTTTCAATGTATTTAGTACACGGTTCACCCAAACATTGACCATATTGTGCACAGTGCATTATTGAGGATGAAGGCTTTTCCCAAAACAGAAATAATAAGACAGTGAAGGAAATCATATTTTCCTTTGGCTGTTGAAATGTAGGCTAGACTAAGGCCACACCATGTGAGCTACATGCTAGTGGATGGAAGACCTGTGTTTCCAAGCACATGGGTAATACATGGGTGGACTGTTTTCTTGTCCCATTGCAAGAGTCAAAATGAAAGGTTTCCACGGCAGAGACCAAAACCAATAAGCCACTAAAGAATCGCCTTCCAAAACCACTCACTTTCCAAAAGGGTTTGGGCGGGGAATTAATGTTAATGTGTTATCCATCTAAATTCAGAGACTAAAAGTCCCTATACTCTGTAACTGGATGGTTAAAGAAACAATATGTAACAATCTCAAGCTGCTTTTTCAATTACCAACAACTCAATATTATAGTGATATGAGTGTGTGAAGTAGGGCTGGGCAATGACTCAATAACAACATATATCGATCGATAGATGTACGGCGCAATAGAAAAAAATGGATCAATAAAACCTTCATTAAAAAGTTTTCCTTTTCTTTTCTCTTTTTCAGGTAGCCTATCAACACTTTCTACCAACCAATCAAAAACACAGACCCAGGCATGCTCTACTTTTTTTTCTATATCGTCCAGTCCTAGTGTGAAGTGAATAATGAGTCAATCGTGGAGTTTTACTTCCTTAAATTAGTTGTTCAGAACTATAGCAACAAACTAATAGCAAAACAGCATATGGTACTTCCTCTAATGCTGAAGGCATACTACCATAATAAGTGTAATAAGTGCTCCTTACCATAAAACACTCGAGTGCTAACACCACATATTGCAATATATTGATTATATGACTTGTCTTCGCTTGACATCTAGAATTTTCTGGTTCTGATCCATAACTGGCAGCAGTCATCAAAGCCCAGAACAGGAGTGAGAGAGTCAATTTTTGTTTAGAAAAATGGACTGCAGTATCCAAATGTGACCACAGGATGTCATTCATTTTTCATTTTTACATATTGCATCATTACAGTATACTAGTTGTCCTGTAGGTAGTTTTAGTGATTTGTTTGTTGACTTGTTTAACATTTACTGCTGATTCCAAATCAGTAAGGTGGCTTCCATCACCTGTGGATGCTAGATTAATATAATAATAATGAGTGGATTTTAGGCATTAGGCCATTGGACAGATAGTTTTTTTTAGTTTTTTTTTTTAATGAAACAAGATGACTCTGCAGTTGATTGGTTGGCTTTGTTTTGGTAGTATAGGAAGTTCCCTTCTTCTGTTGACCTGTTCTGTGGTTGGTTCTTCTGCCTGCCCTCTGGCCATTTCCCTCCTGTCCCATGCAAGAAGAGCACTTCACACTTCCCCCAGTGAAACCAGAGCTTTCCCTTCAGCCTCTTGCTACCTCGTGTCCTTTGGGCTATTTTTACCCCGGCAGAGGCTACTTTTGCTGAACCCATACCACAGCCGGCTGAACTGGAGCTGAGGCCATGTGTGGTGGTGTTTGGAGATGTGTGTGGTGGAACTTCATTTAACAAAATAACATCCACAGAATAGCTGGTTAGTAGGTGGTTAATGTGTATGTTATAACACTTGTTTATAGCAAGTAGATATCTTTTTTGCACCTTTTCTCAAGAATACCAACTTTTTTAGTTTTGATTTCACATTTAAGGAATGCTTCAGCTGTTTTTGAAACATGCTTTTGTGTAAAAACTTTTCTACCCAAACACCAAAATTTCATAGCAGTTAGTGCAGATTTCTGTTTACCTTTTGCAAATCTTCTCACCACAGGGGATTTTACTCTTTGTGGCCACTTACGAGGAATTCTGTGGTGATTTCATGCATCAGAGTCACCAAAAGCAACAAAATATAACACTTTGGGTGCATCCAAGGGTCAAGTCAAGCTGGAATTTCTTCATTGTTTCCTCCAAAATAAGCATTTATTTATGGCATAGCTGTTTGGAGGACTCTCCTCGTGCCTGTCTGTGTGGTCTTGACTTTGTAGTCTTACAATATACATGTATTATGTTAAATAGTGACTTTAAATAGGTCGGAAGTGTGAACGTGACCTTTTGGCAAACTGCCATTGGAGTGAATAATCTTGGCTGTGCAGTTTTGTCAGAAGGTGGTGGATACAACTCTCAGACAACCTCCCACCTCCTCATTTCTCCTCTTTTGGTTCATGACTTCCCCAACAACTCCAGCTGTGCTTAGTCATCCGTGGCATTGTGTTAGTGCACAGCTAGAGTGATTACAATCCCTCTCTGACTCCAGCTGGTGCTCAAGGTATCCTCTTCTCTTAACATAATGATCAGAAAACCAACATTAAGGCAATTTTACACCTAACGCTTCTTCTTACATCCATCATTTTGGAGTCGAGTTTTTCTTTTGCAAACATCTGGGCTGGCTAATTGTACGAGCACTAAAAGTAATTTGTTACAGGTTTGGTTTGAAGCTGTTCTTGTTTAAAAAGAGCCATTTTTTCTCCTGAGCTTCTTCTTTTTTTTCTTTATCTAAGTCTCCCTCTCCTCCTCTCCATCTACAGTGAAGTACATCAAGGAGATGTCATCCTATTTTAAAAGCCCTGGTTCCCCTGGAGCATCCCTCCCCTGGGATTCTCCCCCTTCAACACCTCAGAGGGGAGCTGAACTCTCCCCTGCTGAGGTGAAAGATCCTCGCAGCATCCCGCTGAAAATGTGCCAGGTGTCACGGAAACAGTGCCCCCCAGACACAGAGAACAGGTACTGCAGCGTGTCCATGTGCACCTTTGGATGTCATGTTAGGTTTAGCTAATGTTTGGCCTTTTTAGAAAATAAAATACGATGCCAAAATAAAAGTAGCAAAGTGGTTTGATGGGTTATTGTAAAAGTGATCCCCCCCCCCCCCCCCCCCCCCCCCCATATACCTTACTAATGCATTCTCTTTGTTAATAAAGCAAACGTCCTCTTCGCCCTGCAGCTTTGTTCCTTTCCACTTGTCTTTTGATTCTCTAACAGCCTCGTTTTTAATCTCTTTCCTTCTTCTTTCATCTCACTTGTCAGGTATTTTGAGGTTGTCTCATCCAGCAGAAAGAACTCCATGTTCCTGCGGGCAAAAGACCCAGCCATGGCCCAGTCCTGGTACAATGCCATTCAAGCTGCTGCCGCCAACCTTTTCCCGCAAGTGAAAGAGGAGCTGAAGAGCATGCAGCCTGGCATGGAGGTCAAACATCTGGGCTGGCTTGCAGAGCAGGTGTGAAAGAATACTGATATACAGGAGAAAACAGCCAAAAGTGCTTTTCACTTTGAACGTCTGAATGCTACATGCTTTTCGTAGCTTTTCTGCCAGGTTTCCAACTTCTTAGGCAGTAAATTTAGTTTCTGTTGCTAAATTTAAACTCATTTCCACTGGCTTTGTTCCAGATGGGGACAATCTGGTGGTGTTTACTGTCCAGTTAATCATATATGACAGGGGCCCTCAAACTGAATATCCAAGGGTCCAAGTATGATTTCTGGATAAGGTCAATGGCCTGGAACAACTATGGATAAGAAAATCAATCCCTTTGCTTAAACTGTACAACTAAAAGAGTTGGTACAGTTGGTTTGCCTTTGTTTAGTTGTGAGTCTAAGCTTTTTTTTGTCAGTAAAGCAGCTAAAAATAATAGATGTACTGAATATAGAGTTTAATGAGATACTATAACACCACAATGTTTGATGTAAAGGTCACAGATGCTCTGGGACATTTAAACCACTCTTGTGAAACGTCTCTGAACAAATTAAACACACGGGACTAGTGGTGAACCCGTGGACCTTTGAAACCTTTTTTTAAGATAACATTTAGAAAAAATCATTAGGATATGATGACATGGACAGAGGGCACTGGTCCCAGTGTTGCTTCTTCAGAACTGCACCTATTGGCACTTACACACTAGCATCGGATCAACTCCGCCTGGACGGGGTGTGGAGTGTTCTCATTTGGGTAGCCTTGGATTTTCCCGGGTGCAACCGGACGTCTTTTCAGCCCTCTTTCAAAGGCGGTCTGCCTGGAGCCAAACTGGTCCAACACACTGACTGATGACTGATTGGGTGACTCAAAATCACGCCTACCATTAGGGGGAGCCTCCGATTGGTCAATAGAGTCAGCCTGAGGGGCTTCCCGCATGCGCAATTCATTATCATTCTGGATGCTGTGGAGTTAACGAGCCTCTGACTGAAGACATTTTTCTCTGTCTCTCACTGCTGTGGACACACACACACACACACACACACACACACACACACACACACACACACACACACACACACACACACACACACACACACACACACACACACACACACACACACACACACACACACACACACACACACACACAGTTCTGCCAAGCAAAGCAAAGCAGGATGCAATATCAGAGTCTCTCCAAAAGCAAGACTGCAGGCCGCCTTTGTTTAATAATGGAGACACGGCGGACCTCTTTTGCCCTGCCCACGTGCTCGGAGATGCGCTCATGACATTAATGAAATCTGTTTTTCATATCAATTTTGGAGACCACCCATGTGCTCTATCACGCCCGCATTCCTAAGGCATTGAGAAATAAATGCGACCAGGCTGGGGCGGGCTGTGCGGAGTGGAGCCGATGCTAGTGTGTAAGTGGCATGAATGCCTTTTAGCCTTTAGCTGACATGGAAATGTTTCATGAAACTGGATAATTTTTTTGATTTTCTTAAAGGTGATGTTCATTGAGACACGTATACCACTGTTCTGTTTAAAATGAAATCAGTCACTCTGAGTTTCACGTGCATGCTGAACGAGAAACTAATCTTCAACCCCTATTTCCTGCATTAGCTGCTCAAAGAAAAAAATACAGGGAAATACTCGGATCACAAAAAAGCTACACAGATCTACATCATTCTGTAAAATTAGCATTTATGGACTCATTCGTCCTGAGTCGTGAGGGGGAAGGCTGCTGATTTAGCTGCAGGAGAAAGCAGAGCACATCTCGGCTAGCTAATCGTTAGCATTAGCAGCTCCTCAACATGGCAGAACTCTTTCAGGCTTGTGTTATTTGTGGACATCAAACATCAACATCTTTGGAAGAGTCCGTGGAATGGTTGCATTGCTTTTAGCCAATCAGAGGTGAGATGTTTTATAATCATGAATATTAATGCATAAGACCCCCAAGTCCCGCGCTCACTAAATTCCACTTCCTGAAACAGGAGTGCCAGAGCTGCTCTTTCCACAGAAAACAACTCACAATTCATTCAAATTAGAGACCACTGCAAGTTTATTGAAATAACAAGTGTAGGCCCACTCCATAAAATTACATGAAAGAAGTAAATATCTGTTATAGGGTTCCCATCACCGATAGCTGCATAGCGATGATGAGTTCACTGGCTGCCTGGCAACAGCAAATGTCTGGTTTTTAGTTCCACTCGATCCATCGTTGAACAAGTCGATCTTGATTCTTATCGTCCGACACCGATCAACTGTTTTATCTTATCTTTGGTGAAAAAAGAGAACAGTTACCCTGTCACATTGTTATTCATTGTTAATTCTTCTTTTTATGTCTGTGTGTGTGTGTGTGTGTGTGTGTGTGTGTGTGTTTGTGTGTGCAGGTGTCTCATGGTCCAGAGAGACCTGTTCTGGCTGTGTTGACAGAGAAGGACCTGCTCCTGTATCCAGCCTTTCCTGAAAGCAAAGAGATTATGATCAATCCCACCAAGAGACACCCACTCATCACCACCAGGTCCACACACACACATACCAGTCTCACCTACACACACACGCCCATGTTTTTATAGCAGATCTGTTTCCACCTATAAGCATTTAAATTTTTTCCACTGGTTGGTTTTGGCCATAGGGTTCGTGCTCACACTTTCCATAACTGTAATCCTGAACATTTTGTCCAACAGCATCATCATCATTTGGAAAACGTTAATGTTAGCAGAACCTATGAGTCATGTATATTTTCCCTTCTATCTCTCAGTTTCACATTTTCCACCTCTAAACAGTTTTCTTCATCTCTAATCCCTAATTATTGTCTCTCTCTCAACCACAGTCTGGTGATATTTTCTTCTTTCTTCCTAAAGGTTGGTCCACTCCGGCCCAGGAAAAAGTTCTCCTCTTTTGGACTCTGAGCTGTCGTTCGGTCTGCGTTCGGGCACCAAGCAGGGCGTGGAGACGCACGTGTTCAGAGTGGGTTCTGCTAAGGAGCTGTCCACCTGGACTCATCTGCTGGTGGAGGGTTGCCACAACGCTGCTGAGCTCATCAAGGAGGTCACTGCAGGTGAACAGATTCGGTCAGAAATCGGTCTCTCTGCATTCATGCTCGGATTGCTTCCCCTAACCAATATAGGTCCAACGCAGGGGTCTACAACCTGCGGCTCTGGAACCACGAGTGGCTCTCTGGACCTTCCACTACGCCTCTTAATAACTTTGACAAAAAAATGATAAAAAAAGGAAATAAAAATCGTCGTCGTCTTCCTCCGCCTATCCGGGTCCGGGTCGCGGGGGCAGCATCCCAACTAGGGAGCTCCAGGCCGTCCTCTCCCCGGCCTTGTCCACCAGCTCCTCCGGCAGGACCCCAAGGCGTTCCCGGACCAGATTGGAGATGTAACTTCTCCAACGTGTCCTGGGTCGACCCGGGGGCCTCCTGCCGTCAGGACATGCCCGAAACACCTCCCCGGGGAGGCGTCCAGGAGGCATCCTGATCAGATGCCCAAATCACCTCAACTGACTCCTTTCGATCCGGAGGAGCAGCGGTTCTACTCCCGAGTCCCTCCCGAATGTCCGAGCTCCTCACCCTATCTCTAAGGCTGAGCCCGGCCACCCTACGGAGGAAACTCATTTCGGCCGCTTGTATTCGCAATCTCGTTCTTTCTGTCATTACCCAAAGCTCATGACCATAGGTGAGGATTGGGACGTAGATCGACCGGTATATCGAGAGCCTGGCTTTCTGGCTCAGCTCCCTCTTTACCACGACAGATCGGGTCAGCGTTCCCATCACTGCAGATGCTGAACCAATCCGCCTGTTGATCTCCCGATCCCTCCTACCCACACTCGTGAACAAGACCCCGAGATACTTAAACTCCTCCACGTGAGGTAGGACTTCTCTCCCGACCCGGAGTTGGCAAGCCACCCTTTTCCGGTCGAGAACCATGGTCTCAGATTTGGAGGTGCTGATCCTCATCCCAGCCGCTTCACACTCGGCCGCGAACCTACCCAGCAAGAGCTGAAGGTCAGAGCTGGATGAAGCTAGGAGGACCACATCATCCGCAAAAAGCAGAGACAAGATTCTCCTGCCACCAAACTCGACACACTCCACACCACGGCTGCGCCTAGAAATTCTGTCCATAAAGGTAATGAACAGAACCGGTGACAAAGGCAGCCCTGGCGGAGTCCAACCCTCACCGGGAGCAGGTCCGACTTACTACCGGCTATGCGGACCAAACTCGCGCTCCTCTGGTAAAGGGAACGAATGGCCCTTAACAAAAGGCCACCCACCCCATACTCCTGGAGCGTCCCCCACAGGGTGCCCCTGGGGACACGGTCATTAGCCTTCTCCAAGTCCAAAAAACACATGTGGATTGGTTGGGCAAACTCCCATGCCCCCTCCATCAGCCTTGCAAGGGTATAGAGCTGGTCCACAGTTCCACGGCCAGGACGAAAACCACATTGCTCCTCCTCAATCTGAGATTCAACTATTGATCAGACCCTCCTCCCCAGTACCTTGGAGTAGACCTTTCCAGGGAGGCTGACGAGTGTGATCCCCCTATAGTTGGAACACACCCTCTGGTCACCCTTCTTAAAGATGGGGACCACCACCCCGGTCTGCCACTCCACAGGAACTGCCCCCGATGACCACGCAATGTTGCAGAGACGTGTCAACCACGACAGCCCTACAGCATCCATAGCCTTGAGATACCCAGGACGAACCTCATCCGCCCCCGGGGCTCCGCCGCTGTGTAGTTGTTTGACTACCTCAGCAACTTCTGCCCCAGAGATTGGACAGTCCATCCCCACTCCCCCGGCTCTGGCTCCTCCTCGGAATGCGTGTAGGTGGGATTGAGGAGCTTCTCAAAGTTTTCCTTCCACCGCCCAACTAGTCTGTAGTCGGAAATAAAAATAAAATACTTTATTTGTCTGATATCAAAAAAGTTAAAGAAATGTGTAATCAACAGGGCTGTACCACACTGATGGTTTAAAAAAACTGGTTTTCGCTTTTTTCATGGAAAATTGCACTGAATTACTACAATGGAATGACAAAAAGACCAGTAGTTTTTTCAGGATAGAACTATTTATTTTTAAAAAATGACAAAAGTTCTCGAGAGGAGCCAGTTTAGTTGCATATGATTAGGATGTCTCCTGGATGCCTTTTTTGGTGAGGTGTTTGAAGCACATCCAACTGGGAGGAGACCTAAAGGAAGACCCAGGACATGCTGGAGGAGGAAGAAGAAGAAAATATCATTTCTATAGCGCCTCTCAAGATAAAAATCACGAGGCGCTCAGGAGGGACTATGTCTCTCAGCTGGCCAGGGAGCGCCTTAGGATTCCCCTGGGGGAGCTGGCCCAGGTGGCTGGGGAGAGGGAAATCTGGGCCTCTCTGCTTAGGCTGCTGCCCCCGTGACCCGACTCCAGAGAAGTGGACAGAAATGGATGGAGGGGCAAAAACTTCCCTGTAGTAGATTTTAAGAGAAGAGGATGAGGGCTACTCAAAAAGGTACAATTCTGATGATAATGTCAGCATTCTAACTTTGTTTTTAGTGTTTGTTTTCCAGTGGCCCTATATCTCTTGCGTAGATTTTTATCAAACGGTTTTCTCTTTGCAAAAGATCCTATAACAGTTGTGGTTCTAAACGAGTTATGTTTTGGTTGACTGAGGGGGAATGGGCTCTTTGGATTGTGAAGGTTTCAGTTCCTGGTCTAACCCACAGAACAAAATGATTTAAAGAAAATTCAAGTCCCATCCAAACATATTTGCCTGTTTGTACTGAACAGCTCTGCAGCACAGTTATTCGGACCTATTAGAGGTGCAGCGGTCAACCTACATAGCCTGGCAGTAATGTTGTTTTACTGCCACCTGCTGGTATTATTAGGCAACACAAGCACTTTTTACACTAACTGGTTTGACTTTGGTGTGGTGGAGGTTTTGATTCAAAAGCATTTGAAACTTTCTTGCAATAGAAATGAATTAGAATTTTTAGCATGATAAAATAAAACATAGAAGTGATTTGGAACATGTTGAATACTTGTTGAACTTTTATAAAACTGCTGTCTTTGCTCTCCACTGCAGACTGCAGCTGGAACGGAAAGGACTGCACTCTGGGAGTCCACATCAATGACGGTTTCACGCTATTCACAGAAGAAATGGGTGTCAGGAAGAATATTCTCCTCCAGCAGCCCTTCGAGCGCCTCCGAATGTCCTCGGATGATGGAGTTCGGATGATGTTCCTGGACTTTGGAGGCCCTGAGGCTGAGATTGTGAGCTGCCTCTTCTTGAATTTCATTAACATTATAATAGTGCAGTTAAAGCACGAAGAGTGAGATGCTAGACTGGAAATGTCAAACCTGAGAGGAGGATTGTGACTGGAGACAATCTGCTAAACTGATTTACACAGACACAGTGCATGTCGGGAAAAAATGAGTGTGAACCGTTGAGACGTGGTGATAGTGTTGCTAATATTTCATCATTTGTCGTGTTCAGTAATTAACTTTGTAGTACTCCATGTAGAGGTGTTAGCATTGCTAATGGAGTCAATAGAAGGTGCTAAAATCCACAGCACGGTGATTCTTAGACATGTAGAGAACCCTATAATAGCCAGTGGCTCGAGTCCTCTGACTGTTTAAAAAAATAAAATTAGCAAAAATAAAAGACCAAACACAAATGTTAAAGATGCAGCTCAATTTTAATTGGCTGCAGTGATACTAGAACCCTTAAATTTCCATCATACAGGTTTGTTAGTACAATTAAAAGCCAGTGGAAATAAACTGGTTTTAAGAGATTTGAAATGGTCAGTTTGAGATTATGAGGCGTGTAACTAGCAATCACAGACTTGCATTAATTTCTGTTTGAGTCCATGTTATGAGACAAATGATATTGTTTACACCGAATCAGCCAAAGCCTGCTCTTCTCTAAACAGTGAACAACATAGTGATGCAGTGCAGTGGTTCACAACCTTTTTTCCACCAGGAGCCCCTTGCCTGGGTGTTTAATCTTGTTAACCTCACAGACAAAATTATGGGGACCCCAGCAATCTTATGAAACCCCCATTAGGAAGTAGGGTTGTCACAGTGTGAAAATTTAATCTCACTGTTATTGTGACCAAAATTATCACGGTTTTCGGTATTATCGCAGTATTTTTTTAAATGCGTTACATTTTCAGACAATTAAATAAACCATATATCAGGAAAATTTTGTCCTCAGTTTATGTCTAAATGTTGTCAAAAATTTGTTATTTTGTAATTATGTTGTTTGTTTACATTTTTCCTCTTTAGTCTTTAAAATACCAATATTTGCCCATAACTTCTTATTTTTTGTCTGTTTGATGTCATCATTTTAAAAATATTAGATCAGATGATACTCAGTACTCAAGTAGCCTTCTAATCAGATACTTTTTTACCCTTACTTGAGTAATAAACCCTATAACAGGAAAATATTGTCCTCGGCTTGAGTCCTTCCAGTGAGATTTGCAGATTTGGGAAAATGTCATCAGGCAGTAATCATTGTTAAATTCATAATTATTCTCGGAGAGAGACCAACTCTCATCTGCCCCTGGGAGCCTCATAATGCATAGCGTCATTTCAATATGGGGGTGTCCGCGGCACGGTTTATATGCAGGTAGCGGCGCTGCGGCTGCTTTATATAGTGACTTGTTGCATTCTCCCTCAACCCAAATCCTGGGATCACACATTTTAGCTAAAACGCTAACGTTAACTTGCCTTGCGTTGACTGTAGAGTTGTGGGTGATGGTCACGCAGATGTGTCATGAGATATGAATCGTTGCTGCCTTTCACAGACTCTTTTTCTGCACGTGCTGCAAACAGGATAGCCGTCTTCTATCAACTGTCCCTCGGCATTCTTCAAATATCCAAAAAATGCCCATACTACTGACTTTGTCTTCTTTGGGGATAATACATGTCCTGAGCGCTGCCGTCTCCTCCTTTGGCCATTATTTCAGCTTTATCTTCAAGACAGTTTTGGTTGTAAACAACAAAGTGCGCATGTGCCGCCGGCAACTTCAGCAGATGATACGGTGGCTGGTAAGGGTCACAGCGCCTACACAGCAGCCACGGTAATCCACCGAGATAATATAGTTTTTTAAAAACAAGACGGTTATTATTATTGTCAACTTTTTTACCGGGGTTTACCGCTACACTGGTTACCGTGACAACCCTATTGGGGAGCCATGGACCCCAGGTTGGAAACCACTGATGTAGTGAAAGATTTGGATCATACCCCGACTTCACACTGAAATCATCAGCAGCGCTGAATGGCAGTGGCACGGTCTACTTTCAATCTTCGCCGTGCATCAGTCCACACCGGGAGAGTCTCCTCCCCCTCAAAGGAGGTCAAAGGTCACGATTTGTTTATGCCATCCGCCATTAAATCAAGAAGAAGAAGAAGGAAATTGCATTTGATATGAAACTGCACAGTGGCCTGTTTGAATCAACTCCATAGACTATGATGGATTCTGTTTGAAGCAGCAACATTCGTTCTGCGTCGGTGATGCCTCCAGTGTGAAATTGGAGGCAAAGGCCCAGTTTACATGGCAGGATTTTAAAATTGTAGGTTGATTTTCACAACATCAGACCACACACATGGTGATGAAAAAAATCATAGATTTAAGTTTTAGTCCTACAATGTGTGGTGCTACACGGCAAAATCTTCACACCAACGTTCCACCGTCAGATGCTACATCTCGCAATATATCTCGAAGATCACATGTGACTTCATACTAAACAAACATGGGAGAGGAGGAGCATGAAGTGTGCTTCATGTCACCTTGCTTTGTGATTGGCTAGACGTCACATTTACATGTTTGGTAGTCCCGGTGAGCAGACCTGAGTGCTATTACCCGAGTGCTCTTAACACACCACACATGAGAGGAATATCTGATAAGATTATTTTTAGAACCATAACAGTAATCAGGTGCGTTCGTAGAGGTTGTCAGACGGGGAGGATCGGGCCACGACGCAGCATTATTATCTTGCTGTTTGAACTAGACCTATGTCAGAATGACAAGAAGCACCTTATCTACTGATAAAGACAACAGGATGTTGGTAAATCTGAAAAAAGAAACAGTCAAGAACAACATTTTACTTTCCCATTTGTTGCAACATATTAAAATTTATAAACTTAAAATGAGTAAAATAGGATTTTAAAGGTTTATTTTTAGACAGAATGTGTTTATTTAGTGGATCTCTCTCTTTCTCTCTCCAGCAACTTGACCTTAAATGCTGCCCGAAGACTTTAGTGTTCATCATCCACTCCTTCCTGTCTGCTAAGGTCAAGCGGCTCGGCCTCCTGGCGTGATGAAGGCCGGCCATCCAGAACGCCAGAATAGGAATATTCAGTGAGACAAACTCCAGCCTCAGAAAACTTACGACGACGGGGCCATGGGACACATGCTGACAAGACCATTCTTCTCAGCCTCCCAAGGCCTCGAAGAGCTTACCGTATTTGGTCCGACACCCTGTGGTGTTTCATGTGAAGTGAAGAGAGAACCAGAACATTGATGGACATTTACAAAATTTGTTGTTGTAGATGTAATGTTTTCCTTTTTTTCACAGGTGGTGCAAGTCAGTAACCTTTTAAGGGGTCTGATATCTGTCAAAGCTGTCTAAGTAGGTCATGACTCTCTCAGATTTTAGTTTTGTTTAATGTCATTGGAGGCTTTTGTGATCAGCGTCTTTTCATCCTACAATCTCTGCTTTCTGTGCTGTGAAAAGACCAAACCCAAGTTATTTCACCATTGTCCTGATTGATGTTGGACAAACACTTTTTTGGTATAGAAGCAGCTTGGGTGGAGTGACAGAATGATGTGTTTGATCACCACTTGATCAATAGTCTGTGCTGAACAATGTACAGCTGCCTTTTCTCAGAGATATTACGATGCTTTTTAAGACAAATTTCACTTATTTTTATTGACTCAGAACAGCTCTTTGGATTTAGTTCTACTGCTTTAAGAAGACTCGTAATATATAGTCTAACGAGATTATTAACAATATTTTAAAAGGTGTTTATTTTTATTATAAATTAGATGAAACTTTCACATTTAAAAGGAATTAAACTTCAGTCTCACTGATCATGAGCTGGTAATGATAGATTTAACTTCACTGCTATGAGAAATACACAATCAGATCTGTTGTTTAAACACTTCTATTAACAAAAGTTGTCTTTATCTTTTTTATTTAAAAAGTATTTTCACCAGAGAGAACAGTTTGTCCATTATTGAAGAATAATAATAGTCCCGACTGAACGTGAAACATGTTCATGTTACAAAGCGTGTTATTTCTTCAATGCTTGCATTAACCTACTATTTAAAACCTGGAGGCCTTCTCTCTCTCTCTCTCTCTCTCTCTCTCTCTCTCTCTCTCTCTCTCTCTCTCTCTCTCTCTCTCTCTCTCTCTCTCTTTCTCAATGTTAAACAGACTTATTAATATATATTTCTGAACTTGTTTGCTTCAAGAACAAAATGTCTTGTATATTCTTATTTAAACAAATGTGTGCCTTGCAGCGCTGTTTGTATATAAACATGTAATAAACTTTGTTAACTTTTATTGAGTACTTTGCATTTGCATTCTTTGTACTTTCTAAATCATTATATTGAAATATTTACCTTGGACAGGTTGTCCTTCCGCTGGGAGGGTTCCACAGGGTTCCATACTTGGTCCCCTTCTTTTACTTATTGAAGTGCTCTTTGGATGGGATGCAACGGTTGTTGGGTTACTTAATGGATGCCAGTGTCTGGCTGGTATAGATAACTTTGTTAGTGTGAACAAGGCGAGGACTGAGATGTGGTGGAGACCTGGAAGTAATAGCTCAGTCTCTGTGGACTCTCAGCTGTTGCACTCTGGAAAAGTCTTTGGTTACCCTTTTTGGGTGTTTGATAATTTAATCACCTGTTCAGCAGGATCTCTAGCTCTGCAGAAGTCTGTCAGTCATCCACTGATATAAATCAGGTGTGTTGGTGCAAGGGAACGACTAAAACATATTGGATAGGGGGTCCTGGAGGACTACGGTTGGACACCACTGTTATCCGTGGATATCCATGGGAATGTTGTTGACGTATGAAAATAATGAGGATAGCATCTCAGAAATGTGGGAAAATAAGGGAAGGCCTTTTTTGGAGGGCACGAGGAGAGTCATTTTCCCTAATGAAGTAGTTGTTCTCATTGCAATATGTCATAAGGAGTGAGGTCGTCGTTGGAATGATCCTAAAGAAAAAGTCTTTTGTGAGTGCCTCATGATGCATAAATGGTATACAATTTTTCATTTATTTTATCTTACTTTTGGTCCTGGAGATCCAGATTGATGGTAAACGAAACTTTTATGTTGTACTTCGTCTAAAATATGATCAGCATATCCTAAATCAAAGGATTTTAGGGATTTTAATAACCAGCAGCAAGAATTTTTATCTTTATTATGTCTAACAAGCCTTTCCTTCGATCCGGCTTTCACGCTGGCCCCATTTAATGGTCCCAGTTGGAGGTCCGTCAGTTTTATTAAGTTCAGCCAGATCTGTAGAATAAAGATGAAGATGATGAGAAGCTCGACTCAGCAGGGCTCATAATTGACAGTTAAGCCCACTGCTAACTCCTATGAAAGAAGCAAACAAAGAGAATGCAACTGCGTGTGTGTGTGTGTGTGGTGTGTGTGTGTGTGTGTGTGTGTGTGTGCTTGCGCGCAGGAAAGTCCAGTAATAACAACCTGAGCTGTATAACAAATCAGAATAGAGTGGTTCACATTTGATCATATCTTCTCCTATTCTCTCTTTACCCCCCACCACACACACAACCTCCCCTTGTTACTGTGATGCTATATGTTACCATGGTAACAGCAGGGAGCACTGAGTCTGACTGCATCCATCTCTTCCCCACTGAACTATGGTTTTGCAGCTGAAATTGCCAATCAGCCCTTCAGATCCTGCCAGAGAAGAGGAGGAGATTGTGTGAATATATTTTGATTAACAAAAATGAACTTTGGAGGGAGATGAAGGTAAAAAACATATATGACAGAAAATATGATGTTCGTGACAGAAAAGGGGAAAGAGATGTTACAATAAATGCAATACATGCTTGCCATCTCTTTTCTTTTGGGTTGAATTGAGCAAGTAAACATAATTACATTGGGTCTCTAAACTAAAGAGGACTGAGAAAATATATTTCTAGTCAAGCACGATGGCGTCTGACAGAATTTCTATCAAGAGTATTCTTCTGATGTGGACAGAGATCAGACAGACAGCGGTCTTTCAGAGTTAGACTGAACCATTCTAAAAAAACATGGATAGCATTTGATTTGTTTTAGATGAACGTTTTACTTCCATGGTTTATTTAGATGACTTTATATTTGTGTTTTCTTTGACATTTTAATGTGATGCTGCTAGGGATGTTTATATATATATATATATATATATATATATATATATATATATATATATATATATATATATATATACAGATAATCTAAATCTTCATTTCTGATATGAACAGGTAACTAATTGGATCCCCCTCATAAATAAAATAAAAGCTAAGTCGTTTTAGGTAGCTAACCTCATATTCACTACCATGCATGCTTAGAATTTAAACATTATCTAGGTCACACACTAATATTTAGTTGGTTTGTTTTTAGTTTTGATCACGGCAGGCATTTGCTGTGGCATTGTTTCAATAAGCTTCTGCAATATCACCAGATTTATTGCATTACTGTGTCACCAAGATCTTGCACTGATGATGGTGGAGTCTGACCGCTGCACAAAGCCTCCTCCAGCACATCCCAAAGATTCTCATTGGGGTTATGGTCTGGACTCTGCGGTGGCCAATCCATGTGTGAAAATGATGCCTCGTGCTCCCTGAACCACTCTTTCACTATCTGAGCTCCATGAATCCTAGCCAGACTGGCATTATCTTGGAATAAGGCCGTGCCATCAGGGAAAATGGAATAGCCTGGCCATTCAGTATATTCAGGTAGTAAGCTAACCTGATTCTTGGAGCACATTCTGTTGCTGAACTTAGACCTGATCCACTGCAGCAACCCCAGATCATAGCACTGCCCCCACAGGCTTGTACAGTAGGCCCTAGGCATGATGGGTGCATCGCTTCATCTGCCTCTCTTCTTACCCTGATGCACCATCACTCTGGAACAGGGTCCATCTGGACTCATCAGACCCGTTTTTAATAATGTGTTTAGTCATTTCTGCAATCTTCTTAGAGCATTATCTGTAAAAGTTGTGTCATTCAAATGTAAAAACCAAAAGTAGAACCAGAACACTTCATCCAAATGACAAAAACAGCTTCTGTTTGGGCTTCAGCGATGAGTATCCCAGGTTCTACAAAACAAATGAAAAGTCATTCATTTAAACTGTGTAAACATTTACAGAATAGATTCATTAGGCAACTTAATGATCACTTTCATATGCAAGGAAAACTAATTACAATGGATTTAAATTCTGCTAGAGCTTTCACAAACTGGATTATGACCACTAAACAAAGCTGCTGATGTTCACATGAATGCTGTTTAGGACACATCTATTTTCAGTTTGCTATTTCTGTCTCCTACAGTAGTAGAATACCCGTCTGACCACCTGTTAGTGCTCACACTTCTTTTTATGTTCTTATTTTAATCCAAAAGGCCAGAACTGTCAGACAAATGTGCGGTCACCTGTCTACCAGCTGAAGCTTGGCTAAAGTTGTTTCAAGCAACAGTGGGATGATCCCACGTAAACCTAATAATCTAGGAGAGTGTGTCTGAAGGGTGAAAAACACAATCAGTTTGCACTGTAATCCCAGATTAGTTAAATTTACTGAACATTATTGTTGACACTAGTTCCCCTCTAAGCACTTACGTGTTTACAAATGCTGAAACTAAACAGATTTAGTGATACTGACATGGACAACCATTAGTCTTTACTAACATGATTTTGTTCTCTTAACTAATTTTCATTGATCATCAAGTTGTTAGAAATAACAATTTCAAAACAACACTAAAGCCTTTTCAACACTTCAAACTGGTTTCAGTGGTTCTTGATCCAGAAACTTGAGCATCTTCTCATTGGAACAACTTCAAGATCAAGATCATCATTTTATTTTATTATTTTATTGTCATTGCACAGGTGTACAACACAATTGACTTTGTGCTCATTAAAGACACAGTTCACATAAGGAGGCAGTAAAATAAAATAACGCTAAAACGGAAGTCATGCACACATTCTCTCTCTCTCTCTCTCTCTCTCTCTCTCTCTCTCTCACACACACACACACAAACACACACACACACACACACACACACACACACACACACACACACACACACACACACACACACACACACACACACAGAGCCAGTTTAAGGTGCAAAGAATTGCGAAAGTATAATGTAAACATGGTAATAGGCAAACTATAAACTGAAATATAAAGTAACTAAAATAAAGTAAACATACTATAAGGTAAACTAGCTTAACGTAAAGGTGCTGTGGTGCATTAATTGTCCAGCAGAAACGCTGTTAGTGTGACCTCCTTGCAGCAACACTCAGTTCAGTGATGCTCTTGCATAAAAGCAGTTGCCTGCTGGTGCGTGTTTTTATTGCCCTGGATTGTTTACCAGAGGAAGAAGTTTGAAGAGATGGTTAGCAGGGTGTGTGGAGTCCTTTAGGATGTTTGTGGATTTCCAAAGGGAGCGAGTGGTGAAGATGTCCTCCAGGGCAGGCAGGTGTGTTGTTTTCTCTGCAGTTTTGATCACTCTCTGCAGGGCCTTCCTGTCAGTGGCAGAGCTGCTGCTGTAGCTCAGATGCACTTTTTTCAGGAACTAACAAAAAGCCACATCACTGCTGAGTTTCAGTCGACAGGATTTGTCTGATTTCCTGATAGTTTTATTTACTGATATTTGGACATCTTGCCTCAGATTAGATAACAGCAACACAACTCTACCACTAACTCCATTTGCTTTAACGTTGATGTTTTATCTCCACAAATAACTCAAGCCCGGAGGAGTTCTGCTGTGTGTCAGAGTTGCTAATGCTAAAGATAAGCTTCTAGTTAAGATGTTCTTTTCTGTTTCCTGGATGCTAAACCAACAACAGCCTTCCCCGTCATGAATCAAGATGGATGAGTCTATGAATGTTAAGTGACAGTGTGACGTAGATCCGTCAGGCTTTTCTAATCCTAGAGTTTCACCGTCTATTTTTATCAGAAGCTGATGCAGGAGAAAGGCGTAGGAGACTATTTTCATGTTCAGTCTGCATAAAAAAAGTTTTTAAAAAATTGGCAGAATATAATCAGAAATAAGATTTTAAAAACATATTTTTTCAGTATTCCATGCCTTTGAGTGTTACTTTAGGTCAAACTTACACATTAAACTTTATTGCCTTAAAGTTTAGACCAAAGTCTCACTGGAAAAACTCTTGTATTAACCTTATTGATCTGACGTGGTAATAATAAAATTACTAAAGCATTAATACTTTTATGTTACTGCAGCTGGAATAATTTCAGTGTCTCACAAACACTTCCAGGCATGTTGGTCTAATGTAGTTTTACACAATGACAAGAAAAGTGACATGATAATA